CAATGGCTTGAGACACAAGGCCAGGAGAGGAGGGCACCGCCGTCTTGTATGAGGGACGTATTTCTTTAAATTATGCTCAAAACTCACAAGTAACAACTGCTTAAGAGAGAAGGGAAGAAAAGGAACCCGAAACAGGAGAGGTAAGGTAAGATTGGTTCCAAAAAGGTCCCAACCAGAATGTGTCAGGGCACACCAGAATCCTCTTTCCTGTCAAGCAGCAGAAGAGTGGCAGGTTCAACCTGGAATGACATGTTTCCACGGTGGGCTAAGAATGGAAACTGAAACCAAAAATAGCAGTTGAGAACAGAGTAACATATCACATACTCCAAATGTAGTTAAGAACTAGGAAATAACAGAGGTATGTCAAAGTTTGTCTGCTATGGTTTATGCACTTTCTCAGAAAACAGACTCAGGTGCTTCACTGTGTCCACTTCAGTTTCTTGTGAGTTTTTAAATTGTATTCATTTTCTTTCTTCTGTGAGATAGTAAGACAGGTACCCTCAACTGTGTCACATCATACTGCGACACTCACACCAGCCTTCCAGACAGCCAGGACCACAGGTGTGCACACCAGGCATGATTCAGACTCATCCAGGATCTGAACCATAGCCTTCCAAGTGGCTCCAGCCCTGCAGAGTGGTACCTGCTGCCTGCACTACCACCACCAGAGCTAATGTTTTACACAGAACTCCGCCAAATGTAAGATCTATATTCCAAGCCCTCATCAGAAGCAGAAGAAAAATGAACACATGCTTCCACAAAAAATAACAGCACTTTGACACCATGGGAGGAAATGAATCATCAAAAATTTGAAAACCTGAGCCAGTTGGTGGCAACATGGTGGTTAAGGTGAATGGATCCCACATAACTGACTATGTGATTCAGCTCTTGAACTCAGCAGTCTGAGAAAGGGACCAGTTACATGTTTGTACTCAAAGTCCTGAAAGAAACATGGAGGAAAAGGGATTGCAGCATGGCCATCCTCCCTAGGAGTTGTTTTCTCACTTCCTCTCTTCCTCCCTCTTCCCTCTGGTAAGCACACATGCTCTATAGCAAATAAAAAAACAGAAACATCACAAACATTGGACTAGGCAGTGGTACAGTGGTTATGTATCTAGACTCACATAAGAAAGGTTCCGGGAGACAGCAGGTGCCATGGTGGTTAAGGCACTGTAGTCTCACGTGTCCGACAGCAGTTTGAGTCCTAAACCTGGTCGCTTGCTTTCTCACTTTCTCTATCTCCTGTGCATGCATGTGCAAGTGTCCTATAGCAAAATAATAATAATAGTCATAAATAAAATTAAATAAAAAATAATTCTTAAAAACAAAAGCAAGAAAGAAAGATCCTAGGTTCACCTCCCTGAACATGCCAGCTGGGTTCCTGTTGAGAAAGCCTGTCTCACTCTCTTTGTTTCTCTCTCTCTCTGGTGGAAGAAAGAAATACTCTTTTAGAAAACAGAAGAAATTGACTGCTGTTCCTTGCTCCTCCTCCTCCTTGGCCATGGCATTCATGTCTGCTGCCTTCTGCTACATGCCGGCGCTGCTGCTCACCGCCACACTCATCCTCATCGCCATCTCGGATTACAAGAATCCTATAGACCAGTGTAATACCCTCAGTCCTCTTGTACTTCCAGAGTACCTCATCCATGCCTTCTTCTGTGTCTTGTTTCTTTGTGCAAGAGAGTGGCTTTCCCTGGGTCTCAATATGCCCCTGTTGGTGTACCATATTTGGAGGTATATGAGTAGACCAGTGATGAGTGGACCATCATGAATGCAGATATGCTAGCATATTGTCAGAATGAAGGATGGAGCAAGTTAGCTTTGTATCTTCTACCATTTTTTTACTACCTATACAGCATGATCTATGTTTTGGTGAGCTCTTAGAACAACATATAGAAGAATTGGTCCAGTTAAGTGCATGCAAAAAGCCACCAAATGAAGGGATTCTATCTGGCAAGATACTGTTTCCAAGAGTAGCCTATGGAATCTGATCAGTTACTTTAACAAATGACTCCTTATTTTTTAAATGTTTCCACATTTTTTGCTTACGGAAAGACTATTTTCATATGTTATAACTTGGATAAAGAATTTAAATGGTATTACGTATAAATTAATATAAAATGATTACCTCTGGTGTTGACAGGTTTGAACTTGCACGCCTTAAGGAACAGCCATAATCCTTGAATGATTGCATTAATTACTGACTGTCCTTAGTCCATTGAAACTTTCATAGATAGGACTTGTAGGGCTCATTTTGGTTTTATTAAGATGCTGCCTAATTATAAATTAACTGTAGACATCAGATGCTCCTGATAAACTGAAGTGTATATCCTACATGTGGGAAACTTCATGGGTTTCCTCATCTATCACGTAGGTGATTATATATGGATGCATTTACAAAAATAAGAGTAGGATATTTTCCCTTCAACTTGAATATTATCTCTGTGTATTGCATGAATGAGAAATTTCCCATATTTCCACCATTTTTGTATAAGGTAATACATTTGCTTTAATTCTTAAGCATAAGTGAACATGATATAAAAATATATGCTGAATTACTTGTGAAGAATGTATTTAAAGCTATTTTAAATGTGTTTTTATTTGTGAGACAATTGGGTATTATGCTTACTGTTTAATCTGATGGTAAAGGTATTTTTAAGAATTTGCAAGTACTTAAGATTTTCAAAACTAAATGAGAAAATTGTGTAGCCATCCTGCTGTTCCTTTAGTGCAATACAATAAAACTCTGAAATTTACAAAAAGAAAGAAAATAGAATAAATTATAATGAAAGAATTTCTCAATGTATTCATGTATTTATATATTCAAGAATAATTATTCAGTATCTAGCATGTGTCAGGACGTGAGCTGGTTTTTGAGATACAACCGTAAATGAAATAAAACTTCTATTCATAAAGAAAGCCTAATCTAAAAGAGATTGCAGACCTTTTTCATACAATAGAGTTCGTACAATACAGCATAGAGAAAGGTAAAGAATGCTATAGTACCACAGAAGGACACAGAACCTAGTACAGGAAGCTCAGGAGAGGCTTTCAGAAAAACAAGGTCCACAGTGGAGCCTGAGGGATGAGCAGGGGCTAGAAGGGGAAATGGAAGTGGGGGTGAGGGGAGTGCTCCAAACAGAACAGTACGTGCAAAGGTCCAGGGCATACGACAGTGCAGCCCCGCTTCCTGGGCTTGCAACCCATTCACAGGACCTGGCGCTCAGGAGTCCCTTGCCCATTTTGTTCAATACTCTGCTCTCCCTGTCTTTAGATTCTTAATTTTATCTTTGAACTTGTGTTCCATAGGTGAAGTCTGATAGGACAACAGTGTGTGCATCCGAGCAGAGGAGACACCCTGAAGGCACATGGACTCCACCCTTGCCTGCTGCTCCACTTGCATACAGCATTCATTTAAGAGTTCAGTGAGACTCAAAGCTAGTACAAAGTAAACGTTACATTTTTGATTAAGGGGGGTGGGGGGCTGTGACAGCCTAGGCGGCTACATTTTTCATTCCAACCAGAACTGCCTTTGAAAGAAGGCAGTGGTGTTCTAAGAACCATCAAGAACCTCTGTGATGTGCCACTTACCGTTATTCTTTGTATTAGTCAGCTGCTTAAACTGTAATCCATGACTTAGAAAGAAAAAAAAGGAACTCATCATTATTTTTGGTTTCAATCCTTCTGTAACTCAATAGGAAGTCAAAGTTAGGAGTATTGTCAGAATGCATGTATACCCAAAAGATAAACAGTTGAATAC